TCATCGTAGTTAAGCGATTTTTCTGTGTTCATGAACATCACAAGTGGATTTAATTAAAAAAGATTTCGATCGATGCAGCGAGGTATTATTAAACGTGGTACGCTTTCGTATTAAAATTAGCTACTCGGGGAAAACCCGGAAATTATTGTCAAATTGTCAATGGCTGATATTTATTTAATAATCTAAACTCTGTATATCTATTCTGCACGATTGGGAATGTATGAATTTAAGAGGTTATTTCTCTAAGAACGGACCAATGGCTCTAGGTTTAAAAAATGAAATTCTTCGTTACTTTCACAATGTCTTTTATGATTTTTTTCGCCCACGCACATGAAAGTTATTCTACTTTGAAACTTACCTGGTTTTATGATGCTTTTACAAAACTATTATGGCAAACTTTAGCGATAACAAGCACCAAGTCCAAATACGGCTTTGTACACATATCAAATTCGACTTTAAATTTCTTAAAAGTGGCTCCTAACTGGATTCAGTGACTAATATGGTTGAAAAAAGGGAAGTTTGAAGTACCAATATCCACAATAAAACTTGTTACCAACCGCGATTTGAAGACTCCCACAGCCTCTGAAATTTGTTACCTTCAATTATAGCGGAGTTGAGACGCCAGAGCTTCCAGTCATTTGTAAAATGCGCCGTCGTTCCGGTTTTTTTTTTCACACAAGCCGTTAAGCGATTTTTCCGTTTTCATGAACATCAGAAGTTGTTTTAATTCGAAAAGCTTGATGCATAGAGGTAAACGTTACAGCGAGGTAAGCGAAGTAAAATAGAGTCATTGCTAATTTTGGCACTCACGTCATAAACAGTCTAATCGTGTAACGATTACTGCTATCTATTAGCAGAAAACCAGAACGATGGCGTATTGTCTTGTTTCTATAGCTTCTCTTCCGTGTAATGCACAGCAATTCCATTAGTATATATTTGACAATTTCGATTCCCCACTATATCTTCACATGATACTATACTTTATTGGGGTAATTTACGCATTAATTAACATTCCACTTTTTGAATACATCGTGAACAGTTTCTACCATTATCCTGGCCGACGTTTCATATAAGAGTCCCCACATGCCCTGGCCTACCCACACCCCCAGTACGACCCTACCCCAACCTCGCGTTTTTGTTTCGTTCCCCGCAGGAACGAAACGGTACTGTATTTGGTTTCGAGCAATATCACAGGAAAGTGACGTCGGAGATCAAAGTTATCCAATCCTTTGCCAGTATTCTTGCTGAAACGTCAATTAAATTTAGAATCGTCCAATGAGATGACCGCTCGTAGCATAAGAAGTTTTTTGGAGGCGTGGCGTATAAACACAAAACTTGTCTAGACCGTGGGACGCCCACATGCACACAGCATGCAATATGATTGACAAGTGTTGTAGATTTCGCTACACAAAAAATTTATATTCTCATGAACATGTCCGCAGAGTGTGCATTTTGCTTTTTAATTAAACTTAAAAATTCAAGGTACTTTTATATAATTAAGAGTCAGTTTCTCTATTTAACCGAACAGCAAACAAAGATTCAATTAGTCAGTTCTGTGTACGGCTTGACTGCCAAGCTTTCTCAAGGTCTCAACTTGCTGGACGCGGATATACCAATATACTCTAACGAGCTAACATTCTAACAACAGCAACAATAAATATTGTACCACGAAGAAGGCGATGTAGCTGAGAAAACAACGCTGGAAGGACCTGATATTAAAAATAAGACTTTTGCTGGCGAAGCCAGTTGGCAAAACATCTTGGCTGTCAACAACAAGCTTTCGAATACATGACTAGTTTGGCTGTTCTTTCAGCGTCGTGTGTCCAAAATTCGTCAAAGATTTTGATACAGACCTTTCAAAATACTATTTGTTTGATTTATTTTCTGCCATAAAGCATATTAAAAGAAAAGAAATTCGAAGAAATCGATAATGGATAATTATGGATTTGTTACGTGCGTTTGACCTTTATATTTATATTGAGCCCTCTCTCTCTCCTCCGCAGAGGCTTACATGAAGTTTCTAGTGAGGGAAAAGTGAGCGCGAAAGGAATCTTCCCATCACACCGCGCGCGCTCACTTTTGTTCAGGAAACTTCATGTAAGTTATTTGTAAATACTTAAGGAGGCTCTGCGGAGGGGAGAGATTGAGCCCTTGACCGAGCTATTTTTAAAACTGTTGTTTATGTGAACTTGCAACCAATCAAAATCTTAGGGCCTGAACTTCAGGTTAAATCTACAAGCACGATGATTTATATTTGAAGTATTCAAGCGCCAACAGCGGCAGGGACGCCGGAACGAGGTGAAGGCAAGGGGGGCAGATTTTAGTTAAAGGGCACTTTTGAATTGATTTATACTAAGAGATGTTTGCAAAACATGATACATCGGGAACTGAACTTCGCCTAATCATGTTTTCTATTTATTGGATGATAGGGGTGTGAGGGGGTTCTCCGCCAGGCGATTGTGCTATTCTTGAAGCTCGATGACTGCATTTCTTGCGTTTTCTGAAGCAAATTTGTACATGAAGAATCGCACTGCCATTTCTGAAAATTCGCTATTTCGCCACGGCAATCATTTAAATTGAAAGGGCACCTCTGCCCCCTATGCTCCTCCTGGTAAAGGGCAACGGGGCGGCTGCCCCTCCTGCCCCCCCCCCCAGTTCCGGCGTCCCTGAACACCGGTATATATTTATTATATAGTTTTCTTTGTTTTTCTTCATTTCAAATACTACTACTGTATTTCTGGACCGCTCGGTACCTCCAGGTAGTGAAAATTTATACTAATACGTGCAAAAAATTACCAGAACCCGCCCGCCTCACAAAATAAACCAATTTCATTGCCCGACATATACAAGTGATCTATGGTCACAACCGCTAATTACAGACGTCTGGTATTTCTATAATTATATTGGAACGAAACATTATTTCTTTTTTAAAGAAATATTTTCTTGTTGTGACTTCATTTGAAAACTCTTGTATGAAAATAAACTTCGCCCTTTATTAGCTCTCCTTAAACAATTCCAAGTGAAGTTGATATAAAGGTTCTCAAATGACATCACAATAGAGGTGGGATGGGTGTAGGGTAGGGGTCAGGATAGAGTTGGGGTCATTTGGAGACTATTCCATATATGACTCTTCTATTAAATTTCAGCCAAGCCCTGGTTGAAACACTAATCAAAACCCTTATTCGAACCATAATCCAAATCCAATTCAATTGGCATGCACGATTGCCACTGGATCATTTTGAATAATCAGTATCTATAGTAGTCTTCTAGATCAAGTCTTTTTTTCCAGTTTAAATTCATTTCCAATGTTGCAGAATAGACATACAGAGTTTAGATCACAGAATAAGGGTTTAGATTAATAAATATCAGCATTGACAATTTGACAATAACTTCCGGGTTTTCCCCGAGTAGCTAATTTTAATACGAAAGCGTACCACGTTTAATAATACCTCGCTGCATCGATCGAAATTCTTTTTAATTAAATCCACTTGTGATGTTTATGAACATAGAAAAATCGCTTAACTACGATGATTTAAAGGCTTGTTTTAAAAAACGGAACAACAGCGTATTTTACAAGTGACTGGAAGCTAAGTCCGCTATGATTGAAGCTAAACAAAATAGCCAATTTGTATCAAATTTCTGAGGCTGTCGAGTCTTCAAATCGCGGTTGGTAACAAGTTTTATTGTGGATATAGGTACTTCAAACTTCCCTTTTTTTAACCATATTAGTCACTGAATCCAGTTAGGTGCCACTTTTGAGTAATTTAAAGTCGAATTTGATATGCCTACAAAGCCGTATTTACATCCGGTACAAGTTTCAAAGTAGAATAATTTTCACGTTGGTGGGTGAAAAAATCATAAAACTTGGTTGAATACTTTTAAAATTATATGTATTTGAATTCGACTAATTTTTATTCGTGATTTAGGCAGAGGATTTTCTGCTCGACGGCGCGGAACCGAAAAGTCGCTGAAATTTTAATAATTAATAAAATTTCGAAATTCCAAATAGTGTTTGTTTGTTCTTGGGGTAAATACATTCCATTGTGAAAGTAACGAAGAATTTCATTATATGAGCCGAGGGTCATTGGTCGGTTCTTAGAGAGACAGCCTCTTAATGTCTGCACCCGAGGGAAATAGTTAGTTTTGTTTTCCTGAGAATCTCAATGTTTCCCAAGACGAAGTCGAGGGAAACATTGAGATTCGAGGGCTGAAACAAAGCTACATAGCAAAAAATCATTTTCTTATTTTAAGAAAATAAAAACTTGTTTTAAGAAAATTTTCTTGAAATAAGAAAATATTTTCTTGGGAGAATAACAAGAAAATTTTTTAATGAAAAAAGGGAAGTTTGAAGTACCAATATCCACAATAAAACTTGTTACCA